TCAGGTAAATGGAATCACACTTCATGTATTTCTCTGTGATTTCATTCATTTCTTCAATGTAAAGTTTTTGAGACTTATCCAAGAATAGCTGTAAGTCATTCAATTTTACTTTTTTTATTTTTATTTTTTTTGAGACAGAGTTTCGCTCGTCACCCAGGTTGGAGTGCAATGGCGTGATCTCGGCTCACTGCCATCTCCGCCTCCAGGATTCAAGCGATTCTCCTGCCTCAGCCTTCCAAGTAGCTGGGATTACAGGCCACGCCCGGCTAATTTTTGTGGTTTTAGCAGAGATGGGGTTTCACTACGTTGGCCAGGCTAGTCTCGAACTCCTGACCTCAGGTGATTCACCCTTCTTGGCCTCCCAAAGTGTTGGAATTACAGGCATGAGCCTCTGTGCCCAACCCATTTTTATTTCTATATGCTATTCTGTTAGACCAGTATATCATACATTTAATTATCTATTGTTAGTGGACTTTCGGTTGTTTCCAGTTTTGCTATTACAAACAGTGCTGCTTGGAACATCCTTAGCTATCTCCTCATGCACAGTTAAGAGTTTTTCTAGGGTGTTCGCTAAGGAGCAGGTCTGTTGGAATCTATGTTGATATTTATTAGATGATGCCAAATTATTTTCCAAAGTGCTTATACCAATTCTTATTCCTATGTGTAAATATTCTGGCTGTTACAACCTCTGCAACATTTGATGTTTTCAAACTTTTCGATTTTTGCCACCCTGGTCAGTATAAAATGGTATCTTTTTGTTTTATTTTAATTATAATTAAAATAATTTTTAAATAATTTTTTAATTTTTTAAATCAATAAACCTGATACAAACTCATTATAATTTTAAATTGCATTTTCCTAATTAGTAGGAAAATTGAACAGCTTTTTATACATTTATTGATCATAAAAGGTGCTCTGGTTTTTTTTATTTGTTCGTTTTGTTTTCATTTTTCTCAGAAGAAGACATTTATGCAGGCCAACAGACACATGAAAGAATGCTCATCATCACCTGGTCCATCACAGAAATGCAAATCAAAACCACAATGAGAACCATCTCATGCCAGTTAGAATGGCGATCATTAAAAAGTTAGGAAACAGCAGATCTGGAAGAGGATGTGGAGAAATAGGAATGCTTTTACACTGTTGTCGGAGTGTAAATTAGTTCAACCATTGTCGGAAGACAGTGTGGGTGATTCCCTCAGGATCTAGAACTAGAAATACCATTTGAACCCAATGATCCCATTACTGGGTATATACTCAAAGGATTATAAATCATGCTACTATAAAGACACATGCACACGTATATTTATTGCTGCACTACTCACAATAGCAAAGACTTGGAACCAACCTAAAGGTCCATCAATGATAGACTGGATTAAACGAAAGTGTGACACATATAACACCCATGGAAATACTATGCAGCCATAAAAAAGGATGAGTTCATGTCCTTTGCAGGCGACACATGGATGAAGCTGGAAACCATGTTCTCAGCAAACTGTTGCAAGAACAGAAAACCAAACACAGCATGTTCTCACTCATAGGTGGGATTACATATGAGAACACTCGGACAACAGGATGGGGAACATCACACACCAGGGCCTGTTGGTGGGTGGGGGGGCTGGGGGAGGGATAAGCATTAGGAGATATACCTAAATTGTAAACGATGAGTTGATG